CCTCACCCTGCTGCATAAACAGTGACCCCGTACAGTCACACAGTCAGCAATCCGCACCCTGCTGTATAAACAGTGACCCTGTCACACAGTCAGTAATCCTCACCCTGCTGCATAAACAGTAACACTGTACAGTCACACAGTCAGTAATCCTTACTCTGCTGCATAAACAGTGACCCCGTACAGGCACACAGTCAGTAATCCTTACCCTGCTGCATAAACAGTGACCCCGTACAGTCACACAGTCAGTAATCCTTACCCTGCTGCATAAACAGTGACCCCGTCCAGGCACACACTCAGTAATCCTTACCCTGCTGAATAAACTGTAGCACAAAATAAATTAAACAAATATTTGTTATTGTGGCACTTTACTTCAACAAAAATCATGAATTGCACCGCAATATTTGTTTTGACTTTTGGGTCAGCTGGTTCAAACACATCAGCCTTTATTATTTGATTTTGCTGAGAACGGTTGCTTCATTGCGTTGCAAATAAATCATTCGACAGGTTTGGTATCTATGGAGTGCTGGCTGTACCAACATCCTGACTTCACAGAAACATAGAATCCTTCTCGTGTGGAAACTGGCCACTCAGCCTGTCGAGTCTGCACCCACCCTCTGGAGAACATCCCACCTAACCCCAACCACTCCCCCAAACCACCCCACCCTGTCCCTGTAAGCCCCAATTTCCCTTGGCTAACCCACCTAGCCTGCACACAGATGGGCAATTTAGCACAACCAATCCATCATCCCCGCTTCATGTCTTTCGACTGTGGGAGGAAACCGACCACCCGGAGGAAACCCATGTGGGGATGTGCAAACTCCACACGGAGGGTCACCCAAGGGTGGAATCGAACCCAGGTCCCTGGCGCTGCGAGGAGCAGTGCTAACACCGAGCCACACTTGAAAAAACATATTCCACCCTGCTTAAGGGATGGACATGGACCAGATTGCTGTGTGCTCATCCCCATGTGGTCTCACTTGGCTACTCAACAATGCCAATTTTGGGGGTCTGGCATTTTAACGCAAAGATTGGGTACTGATCATAAGCTCTCATGTGTTCAAAGTAACTACTCCTGAAATGTGTGTGTGTGTGAAAAAGGCTACGTCTGACAGGCCAAGTTGTTTTAACTCTTGGAGATGGGCACTCTGTCCATTCCGAGACGGTGGCACGTTGCACCATTCTGACACGGAGGATGGCCGCTCGGCCCACCGGGTCCATGCAAGACGGTTCGCAGAGCCATTCTCCCACTTTATCCCCCCTGGCCCTTTCAGCTCAGTTCCTCCAAGCCCTCGTCCTATATCGTGCTGATGTAATTCCCTGTCTGCGTCCACCTTTTATTGGCAGAGGGCTCCAGTTTGTTCCCGTTTCCCAAGTCTCTCCCATTCGTTCCCTCTATTGTTTTTTGCATTGATCCTTAAAGCTGCGTCCCCAAGATCTTTTATCGTCAGCTTTTCCTTATCTGTCTTACCTAAACCAGCCATAATATGTTGAACCTTCTTTGCTTCGTATTGTAAAACAGGAGTGTGTATTTCTAAGCTCTCAATTCAGAACTTCCCCTGGCCATTGCGTGTATTATACGTGAGCATTTTTGTGTCTCTGTTGATCTGAACGGTCACTTAATTCATGACTTTATAAAATCATGAGGGGTGTAGATAAGGTGAATGGTAGGTGTCTGTTCTCTAGGGTGGGGGATTTCAAGACCGGGGGCGTATTTTTTTAAGATCAGAGGAGAAAGATGTCTGGGGCGAGGGTGAGGGCGGAAGGTGGGGTTGACTGGATGAGATCTGGGACAAAGAGGTGCGCTGACATTCCCTATTTGAGGGACAGACCGAACGGGAAATCGAGAGACAAGAACAAACAAGTCAGGAAGCTGGGAAGTTGGTTGGGGTGGGTAGGGACGGTGGTGGGGGGGGTTAAGACAGAGATCGAGCAAGGGAAAGGATTGAATTCAAGATTGAGTGAGAGGGGGAGGGAGAGATCGAGCGAGAGACAGAGAGAGAGATCAAGAAAGATCAAGCAACAGAGAGAGAGAGATCGAGTGAGACTGAGAGAGACAGGGATAGAGATCGAGCGAGAGAGAGATAGATAGACAGATAGATAGATAGAGAGAGATAGAGATAAAGAGAGATAGAGAGAGAAATAGAGATAGAGAGAGACAGAGATAGAGATAGAGAGAGAGATAGAGAGAGTGACCAAAGCATGGAAGAAAACATTTGTGCACCTTACAGAACAGGTAGTTTGATCCGTATGCCTGGGTTTAATGGTTGCAGTTTATCTGAAAGCTGGCTTTCTCGCAATCGCTTGATGTGCAACTAAACTTTGATACCCGGTCCATCCCTGCCTCAGAATCCCTATTCCTGACTACGGTGCTATGCAGGACCACACTGTCCGCAAGGACATGCACTGGGATAGCCAGTTCCCAGCATCCTCACACTGAATGTGATCAGGCTGTCAGTGGGCGCCGGCGCTGGCTCTGGATCTCCTACTGAGCCAATTGGTCTCTGGCAGGCCTGCACAGTGGCGCCCCCTTGGAACTGGAGCACTGCGTGGCACCAGATCCAAAACACAGCATGGAAACCCTGAGAGAAATGTCAGTCCCTGTCTGGTGTTTAAAAATAAAACCACACTTTTGCCAGTCAATCCTGCTTCCAGTTTCACACAACAATGTTCCTGACAGCGATGGGCCTGTGGCAGTGACACTCCCCTCACACCCAAATGCATACCTTGGCAGAGATAGTAGGAACTGCAGATGCTGGAGAATCTGAGATAACAAGGTGTAGAGCTGGATGAACACAGCAGGCCAAGCAGCATCAGAGGAGCAGGAAGGCTGACGTTTCGGGCCTCGAGCCTTCTTCAGAAATAGGGGAGGGGAAGGGGGCTCTGAAATAAATAGGGAGAGAGGGGGAGGCGGATAGAAGATGGATAGAGGAGAGGATAGGTGGAGAGGAGACAGACAGGTCAAAGAGGCGGGGATGGAGCC